CACAGAATCAACCTTCAAGAAGAGTTAGGCAGTTTATTATGGGGTTACCTTGACCCCAGGCAAAATTCTTAACCATACCAGCTTGGGATAGTGGGAGCACCACATGGCCAAACCACCTCAGTTCTCAGAGTTCGAAACCTGAGGTTTGTCCTCTGAACTTTTGAATTCTGGTTCTAACACTTATTAGTTGTGTGATGTTGGAAAAATTTTATTTTCCCCAGCCTTAGTTTCATCATCTGCAGAATGGTTCCGATTCAACCTAGCTCAGAGGGGATATGGTGAAAAAATTAAATGCCAAAGGTGGAAACATCTGGCAGATAGTAGGCATGCAACTGATGACTTTGCTTTCTTAACATCATGATAAATTAAGGTATGTTCATAAATGAGTTCCTATCAAATCTCAAGACAAAGAAGGAAAGTCCAGATTTTTTCTGATTTGTCACCAAAAGTATTATTAGGCTTTCAAGAAAACAGAGGGCATCCTTCATCACATAATAAAACTGAATCTACTGTTTTTCTGGCCAGAAAAAAAAAAAGCATAAATACAACTGACGTCGATTCTCTGTGCATATTGCAGCTTGTCTCCCTGTTTTATAGTTTTCGGAAACCAAAAGTCCATCTGTCTCGAAGACTTTCCTAGTCTCTAGAAGAGAAAACACGGTCTTGATATAGTCGTGCTGTTTCATGTGGCTGCCTCGGAGCCCCCTTGTACGCTCCCCTTCTGCTGGCAAGGGCATGAAGCCAGGATGCTGATTTATGGCTGCCTCTGTCCCGGCAGGTTAACCCCTATCACCTGTCACGCTGCTGTGTTAATTTCATCACGGCCTTCCCCCAGCTCTTCCGTGGTGAGAGCACAACAGAGGACACGCAGCTCGATGCACACTGCTCATTGATGCCCATGTGAAAAGAACAGCTAGAACGTCCTGGACACCCGGGCCCTTCCTTCCACAGTGTTTATACAGTCCCGAATCAATCAGAGAGCCATCAATCTATTAAGCCCATTAACGCACAGCACACTGCATTACTTGATGGAGAGGCTTGTGCTTGAGAACGTTGAAATCTTGACTTATTTTTCCAGTCCTGGCCCCCCTTTTACTCATTAGTTCTGAGCTACACACTTTGTATTTCAGTTCAAATGTCCCCTTACTCCATAAGAGGCAGACAGAGAGAGCAGGCTCTGGGGAGGTCAGCAGGGACCTAAGTGGCAGGAAGGCAGAGTGGAGGGTGGAGCCTGGGGAACCCTTCCTCAGGGCTCCTCCCTCCATGTATTCGTGGCTGGTCCCCTAGCCCACCTTCCCTGGCCAGTCTCAGGTGCAGCCCCAATGTCCCTATGACATGGCAGATGCTTCAGTCGTAGAGGTGTGGTTGGCAACCCTCCGGACCTTATTTCCTCCATTTGAGATACCAAGAACAGGATGACCCATGCCTACTTGGCAAAGTTTGTTAAGAAGATGAAATAAAACAGCATAAATACACAGGTGTTAAAAAGAAATCTCTGCCAACTGAATAATAATAATAATAATAATAATAATAGTCGGAACCCCACGGCCAAACTCTGCATGGCTGGCAGTGGTGTCCCAGGAGGTGGGGTGGTGGCCTGACCCTGTCTGGTGACCTCCCATCAGTCGTGGGGGATACTGGCATGTGGAACGGCCAGGACGCCAGGTGCCGCCTGGCTGGAGCTGCTTCCCCCTCTTACTCTCCCCTTCTGGCCCCGGTCGGTAGCACGAGCCACTGTGCCAGCAGCTGGTATCTTCAAGATGTGGCATCTGGGGACAGAGGGGCCGGCTGAGTGTGTGGGGTGGGCGCTGCCCGCCTACCTTCCACGATGACTCAGAAGGAATACCGAATACTGCTTTACTCTGGGTGAGTCCTAGACAGTGCTGAGTTCCTGTGTGGGGTGACTGTTCTGCATGGAGGGAGGCCAGAAGCCTTTTTTGAATAATAATCACTTTTCCTATATCTTCTCATGGCTGCTGAAGGTGTCCCTTGGGCCAGCACACTAGGCAAACATGGCAAAGCTCTGAAGCTTTGTCGTGGTTCCCATTGTTTTTGTTTTGTTGTTGTTGTTTTTGTTTTTTAATTAAGTCTGGGAAAACTGTGACAATATCCAGGCACGATGGATAATAGACTGACACTCCATCTTCATTTTGAAGAGCATGTAAATGGGAATGAGATGATAACACTGTTAAAATAAGATTAATGACATAATAAATGCTAACATCCCCGACGACGGCAAGAAATATAACGAATGGCCAAGGCGGGTGATGCGGAAATGTTGCCGGTGACCACATAGGTAGAGAAGGTTACTACCACGGAGGATGAAGCTGGGCTGTGCATGAAACGGGATCCAGAGTCACTAGCCTCAGCAAGATAGGGCTTATTTTCCTTTTGCATGAAAGTCTGGACGTAGATGGTCAAGGGCTCTGCTCGTCTTACCCTCCACTCCTTTGTGTCTCTCTTTGAGAGTGAAGATAGCTTTGCTTGCCTGGCACACTACGCTCCAGGGAGGCCCTTCTTCCATCTCTTGCTGCTTCTTTCTTGTGCTTGCGTGTGAGCTTCCATTCCCAAGGACATCTCTTGGTCCAAGGTAACTGCTCCAGAGCTGCCTAACACACCTGCATTCCTGCCACCAAGAAAGAGGGATGGGGAGGATGTGGCAAAGGGCAGATGCCTGCTGTTACCTGCAGAAGGTTTCCAGAAGCTCCTACACAACACCCTCATCTACACCCCCCTGCCCAGGCCACAGTCACGTGACCACACCTAGCTAGCTCTGTCCTATAGCCAGTGCTTTGCAAAGACCAAATCTATGGAAGAAGTGGAGAATATACTGGGGGGAGGGCACTGGTGGTCTCTACTCATCATGTAATTTCAAGACTTCTAGAAAGTGCCTTTTGCCTTCCCTTCCACTTAGCTGATGCCTAAAGTTTCTCAACAGCATTGTGTCTTTCTCTAAGACATAGTGGACTTTCTTATACTATCACCTTCTCCAGGTCATTTGTAGGGTTCTTGGTGCTAGTTCTTTCCACCTCAACCCCCCTCCCAGCAACCCCCCTAGCCCTGGTATCATGGTAATACCATGTCTTTCTGCTGTCCATGTTAGGAGAGGGTAGTAGCTATTATAACAACCAACACGTACTGAAGCTTACAACACACCAGATCTTACACTCACAGTTTAGGTTTTTTATTTATTTTTTTCTCATTTAGCCCCCAGCAAAGCCCCAGGAGATGAGTGCTCTTAAAAGAGATGCGGACTTAAAGCCAGGATCCACACTAGCCCTTGTGCTCACCATTATGCCACACGGCTTCTCCTTTATCCTGTCTGATCTCCAGGTAGGGCCAGGCCCTATGTGGATTCTAGCGGAGGAAGCACATTTTTCTGGGTCTTGGTTCTGAGTGTGCGAGTATGAGGAGTGGAGGTGAGGTTACCAAAGCTATGCTAAATATCCAAATGAATAGGCAGTTTGGTAGGTTCCCTAAGAGGTGAACGCAGGTGGACTTTTGCCATAGGTGTTCGGGAGATGTAATGTCAAGGCACTAGAAGGGACACTAAAAAAAAGAGGTAATTGCTTCACTCCAGCTGCATCTGCTCCCGTCTGGTGTAGCTGGAGCCCTTCATCAGCCTGCATTCTGGCACGGTGAAGGTCATGTCCCCATGGGAGCCAGCTGTCAGCAGGGCTCCTGCCCTTGGGGATCTGGTCAGCTTGGACTGGAATCCTCATTCCATGTCTTTTTCTTAGCGCTTGCTTCCTTAAGCCTTTTTTTGCTTCAATGCCCGGATGCTACTTTTCCTACGTCAGTGTTTTTCATCAAAGGTCACTCTTACCCATACTGTTTCAGAGTTTAGTAGATTCATCAGAGACTAGAAGGATTTCTAGGGAGATATCATTCTGGCGTGAGGTCTTCTTTGGCCCCACCCTCCTGCCTTGCCCCTCCCTCCTCTGGAGTAACTTCAGCTTTATCTGTCGAACACACGATTCCCCAGCATTTGTGAATTTATATCCAACCACTGATTAAAGTATTTTCCTCACAAAAACTGATTCCTTAGGCTATCCGAGATTCTGGAGGAGGAAATGTTCCCTTCTCTTGTTACTCTTGATGTTTTGGTGGCTAGACTGATACAGCAGGAATTCATCTGTATCTTCAGGGAAGAAAGAGATGACATGATGTTGGTGATGAAAGAGGCTTGGCCTATCATGTGGGCTTGAAGGCAGGGCCTCGGGATCATGGTGAGTTCATTGTTCCTGAAGCAGTGGGACTTGCTGTAGTCTTCAGAGGTGGCAGTCACTAACAATTTTAAAGATGGTTGCCATGAAGACATCTGCTCCACAGTGTATGAGTTTGGCCATTGGTGGGAGCGATAGAGATGCCTAGTGCTTTCCATATCTGGTCTCCCTTCATTCCTGAGCACATGGGAAGGCTCAAGCTGCCCTGAAAGTAGCTAGAGCCCATGGGACTAGATCTGCCCAATGGGCTCTGAGTGAAGAGACTTGTCATTTTTGGTCTCAGGCAGTTAAGAGTTTTCCATACTCTTCCTTGTGAGCCATGTGTTGAAATAATAGCAGAAACATTTAGGAGGAGCCTGGATCCTTAAGACAGTAGGTGGATGAGAGCCCTGCTGACCTGCTTCGGACTTGGCATGCACAAGATAGAAACTTCTCTCAGGTGATGGGTGTTCAGAGAAACACCAACAGACAGAAGAGCTCCTGCTATTTGGCCTTTGTTACCATAGCATGCCATAGTAAATCCCGAATACAGGTAAGATGGAATTTATATAGATTGTGCTCAGCTCTACCAGTGAGATATTCCTGGATGTCTAATAGATTCCAAAGTTTGGATGGTCAGGGGATGTTTTGGGATTAGAAGAAAGGAAGAATTCCCTGCATCTTTTATTATTTTTGTTTTTCTTTTTTTCCCTTAAGTGGCCATCATTTCCAAGACACTGGGTGATAAGGCGGCTGGTGCTGAATAGAAACACCAACAGAGAATTGGAGAGAAGCACTTGGTAGGATGGTTCCCAAAAACCCCCTCAAGCCTCTGCTTCCCTAATCTGGAACAATTCTGCCTGACACAGTGCTCCGGCAGGTTAGTAAAAAGGAGAATGTGGTGCTGAATCCATATGTCGCCATCCCACCTTTCACAGAGCAGCCGAGAATCCAGGCTCTGTTTCCACTACTAATCACCAAACATAACAATTAAACACATATCACTCCAGACTAGAAAACCCCAGGAGGATACTCTGTGTCCATTCTGTTCAAGTCTGAAATCTGCTGTGGATATTGGCAAAGTGGCACAAGCAGTTAGGGAGGTGGGAGAGGGGACGGCAACCCCAAAGATGATTAAGGTAGCAGAGAATTCGCACGTTCTGCTCTTGGAAGCGCAAAGAGTGCCGAATATGGTGCCTAATACAGCACAAAGTATTTATTTATGCAATGGTGACTCTCAGTTAAGAATGAACATGTTCATTAGTAGTAGACATTGTTTAAAAATGCATTCTGCTGTGCAGAAAGAGTATGTGAATCCTTGTCCTTATGATCTTCTCCAGCACAGAGAAAGGCAAGGATCGGGACAGCTCAACCTACATACGATGTGCGTGCCTCCCCATGATGATCCAAGTTTAACTCTCTGTCCGGTATTCTCTGATGCTGTTCCTGGGGATAGGGACACTCCAGCCACACAATCGCAGCTGACGGCATCTGCAATCCTTCCTTCTAGTGATGAAGCCAATCACTAGAAGGCGAGAGGGTACGTAAGCAATCCTACCCATCCTTGTGCATTATCTGTGCAGCTTCTAGAAAACTATTTTTGATAGAAGGAGGCACTGAACTAATACAGGAATATAAGAGGATATACTTTGCTAAAGAGGAAACCTCCTTCTAACTCCCAGACAGAATCCAGAGCTTCTGTCTAACTAAACCCTTCCTTTCTAATCTGACTTTTTGGAGTTTCACCTTAGAATATGGGAAAGGGTCTCTTGAGTTTAGTACCTCTCAGAGAGAAAGGTATGTCTTGACTCCCTCAGCAAGGAGCTTCGGGCACTGTCCCTGTGTTCAGTGACCCTGTCCCTGATGGTGAATTCTCAGGTTCTCCAGGTGGGTGGGCTGCCAATGTTTACTTGTTTTATTGAGAAAGGAGAGACTGAACAAATGAAACCTTTCTACTTTTTTCTTTCCAGGATGCTCTCCAGGACAATTCCTGTGAGCCTGACTCAGAAGACCAGCAGTCTGTCCGTGAACCTGTTACCCTCGAGAATTTGATCTTCTTTCCGCAATATCTTGTGGTGGCCACTTCTTCCTCTTCTCTGACTTCCTATCAGCTTTTCTTTTTCTTTTTTCTTTTTAACCAGGTTTTGTTACAATTTATTTTTATTTTTTAATTTAATTTAATTTTATTATGTTATGTTAGTCACCATACATCATTAGTTATTGATGTAGTGATCCATGATTCATTGCTTTCGTATAATGCCCAGCAGCTTTTCAAATGGTGGATTTAGAAAAACTGAAGTTATTCTAGCATTGATTATGTGGTCTCAGATTCTCACAACTAGTTTTCCTCCGGATGAATATTGGGAAGAGTTTGGTAGCAAGCTATATGATGAGGGAGGAACACTGGAATGGGAGCCCAAATGTGTTGTAAACTGGGGCAGGTTACTTCATCTCTCTGACATTTTGTTTCATCCACTCTAGATTAGAATGTGGATTAAAATGCGTCTGACTACCAATGTCTATAAGTCCTAAAAACTGTGCTCCAGAGGAGAAAACACACACAGACAAATGTGTATTTATTCACTCTTCCACCATGTTTTGTAGACTGGTTCGAGAGAGTTCTGAATTCACCTAGTAATAGCATTATCTTAATTTCATATTGAAGACACAGTTCCAATAACTTAACCATAAGACTTGTACACTGGCTGACTTCCATCCTTTTCCTAATAAAGTAGATTAATTAATCCAGACAATTACTGTCAAGGAAAGGAGCAAGGTTGGACATTCTCTAAGAAATTTGGTGGTTGTACATCTGATATGGTTAATTTGCAAGACCTCAAATGGAACATTTTAATTAATTATTTCGGTTACTATTATATTTAGATAGTGCTGGTTGGGTGTAAATCTATTAAAATTATAAAGTTTGGGTCAATTTACCAATGAAAAGGATGAGCCTCCTTCTACCTTTTCTTTTTTCTTTCTATAACCATAGCAATTAGAGAAATTATGTCATGATATTGGGCAAATAAATTAGTCAATCCCAGCCCAAAAGTAGTTGAAAAGCAAACCATTTGAACCCTCTCCCAAACAGAGGCCTGTTGGGAAGCAATGTATAAATAGAGCAAAGCTTATGAAATGAAATAGACAGGATATAAAATTTCCATATACACAGTCCCCCAACAAGGACTTTTCTTACGTATGTCACCATTACCTTGATAAGATTGGGAGTTGGCCAGTGGCTTTATAAATTTAAAGCAAATGGTGACAATTAGGTCCTTAGAGTACATCCTCATTCCTCCTTTATTCACTTCAGGTTCATTATTTTGGATTTTTCATTTATATTTTTGTGTTTATGGTCGTTGGAGGAGGCTGAGTACTACATTTTGACAGTAGAATCTGAAAGAGTCACAATTCTAAATTCTGGTAAATACTGCTTGATCATAAAAAGATGTCTTAGTTTTAACTTAGATTACTATCTCATTGGTCAAGCCCTTTGGATTAGATTATATTTTATTGAAAGGTCAATCCTCCCAATTCATGGTATTGAGGTCTACTTTTCAGAGGTTCAAACTGTGGGTGGTTTAGTTCATATCCTTTACCGCAAAATGAAAATTCTGGGATTCTCATCAGCTTTCTCCCAAAGCAAACCTTTAAAGCTTCCCCAACACATGTAAAAACCAAACTTTATGAGGATCCAAGACCAGCCAGGGAATTTTAACAAAGACTAAATTTTAGAACAGCTAATCTTTAGTTGTGCAAAGGACATTGCTAAACTTCTGGGTTGGAAGGTATCCTGATCTACCTAATTCTATTTATGAAACTGCATATGTGCTTTGAAACTCCATTTAGATCCAACTCTTTCAGCTAGAGATGGAAACCATATGTGTGTCTAAGGCCCATATGTTAGGGCTTGGAGAGTCTTAGATTTTGTTTTGATTTCCAACTCAGCATCATTTTCAGATTTGGAGGCATCTGGGTATGTCCTTGACCCTCTGTGTCATGCGGCGATATTTTTGTTATCCATTCTTCTTCTTCTTAGATGATTCCCATTTCCATATGCTTAGAAAGGTGTTGTGGCCTTTCGTTCTCAAAAGATTACTCTAAGGAAAACAGAGAATCAAAGTAAATATGTGGAAAAATCAAGTTCACAGTCTTACACCTGGGTGAAACAGTATTTTGTTTATTGTTTACATGAATTCATTAGGACTTCTTTTTTCCTTCGCTCACTGTTTCTTTTGTGTAGTGTGGACTTCCATTTCTCCTGCACACGTGCCCAAGGATTGTAGGCATACCCCAGTGGGAAGATGGCTGGCTGACCCCCAAATCTATTTCCCCATTCTTTTGAGGTAATAATCTAGTTGCAGTCGGGCACGTGGCCTCTCAGCTAGGGACTGTCTTCCAAACCTCACTGGTAGGCATGTGCTGAAGTTCTTACAGATGAAATGTGAGCAGTAGGGATAGGAGACATTTCAAGGCCCGTGCCCTAACACACAACCTTTCCCTTTGGTTGGTACTAAAATACAGAATAGCTTAAAACCAGCTGCAAATGCAGATGATGGCAGTATCCCGGGGGATGATGGATAAACGCAATGGAAAGAACTGAACCCTTCTAATTTCTGCAAGGAGCAGAGCCACCTGCTGACCCACCTTACTATTGGATTGGCAGGAAAAAGGCTTCTTTGTCCTTAAAATTAGCTTTTACCCTAAAATCATGTGTAGAGCTTAGGGCTCATGCAATGATATAACTAAAGGAAAAGAAATTCTTTTCTGCATAGAACCCAGAGAGATTCTTAGGTTGTGGGGACAAGGATTCAACAGGAAATCAGTTCTCTGAACAAAATATTTAGACATCCATTTGGGGAAAAGAATAGCCACTGGTTATTTGGCCTGATGGTATTGAGAGTCAGAAGAGTTGTTTATTCAACACAGGAACTCATTTTTCTTCTTTGGTGGTTGGTTACTTAAAACTCTACTCATGACATTTTTAACAATTGAGTCAATGACAGGGGTAGTCGTTGTTGAAAAACATCTCTTTAGTGAAAGGTGCAGATGTAAGAATGAAAAGCAAAGTAAGGTTTTCTTGAGGGAAGAAGATCAGGGATCTTCTCTTGGTAGCTCACCTCCCCAGGGGCAGGGCTTGGTGGGCAGCTCCTGGGGTCTGGCAGGTAAAATCCGGTGGGACCTCAGTCTATGATTTTGCCTGACTTAGCCTTAAGTCCCTAAACTGTAACATGTCAATGATGACACCCATCTCATTCATTTTTACATTTGGTAGATCATCTGCACTAATATCTCTGTGGTATCTGACACATAGCATGTGTTCAGTAAACGATGTTCTGAGGTTAAGGGTGACTTCTCACAAGTTCCCATTGCTGACGGTGGTTACCGGGTATGGGGTGTGGAGGCAAGGACAAAGATCTGTGTTTCCATGAGAGCGAATAAGGAGGGGTTGGACTTCCAGATTGGCTTTCTTCTGATTTATTCAAGATTTCAAGAACCAAGGTGTGCCAAGCCTTTGAAAGATCTCAAAAGATTAAGATGTTTTTAAACATAAAAAATATGCTATATGGGGCGCCTGGGTAGCTCAGTTGGTTAAGCGACCAACTCTTGGTTTCAGCTCAGGTCCCAATCTCATGGGTGGTGAGATTGGGCCCCCCTCGTCTGGCTCTGCCCTCAGTGGAGAGTCTGCTTAAAGATTCTCTCCCTCTGCCCCACCCCCAGCACGCTCTCTGCCCCCTAAAATAAATAAATCTTAAAAAATGTGCTCTATATTTTTGCATTTTTCATAGTATTTCAGGATTTGCATTTGACTGGATGCATCATATCTGATTTGACAGAGTGTAGTCCAAGGGAATGTTTGAATACACAAACACATTGTTCAATGGGACAAGCTTGTGTGATGTTTATAATGGTATCAAATATATAAAAAAAGCACTGTCTGGGTATTTTGTAGACAGATGCCATGCACCTTTTTTTTTGTTGTGGTACATTAATCAGATGGTACAGTGGAGGGCTTTGTGCAAAATGTGGTAAGTGGTAGGAAACAAAGGGTGAGCTCTGATGTAAAGACACTGAGGGCTGTGATGCAATTTCTTTGTCCTTTTCTTTTGTTTAAAATCAATTAATTAACATATAGCGTATTATTAGTTTCAGAGGTAGAGTTTAGTGATCTATCAGTCGCATATAACACCCAGTGCTCAGTACATCACGTGCCCTCCTTAATGCCCACCACCCGGTTACCCCATCCCCCATCCCCTCCCCTCCAGCAGCCCTCAGCTTGTTTCTAAGAGTCTCTGGTTTGTCTCCTTCTCTGATTTCATCTTGTTTTATTTTTCCCTCCCTTCCCCTATGTTCATCTGTTTTGTTTCTTAAATTCCACATATAAGTGAAATCATATGATAATTGTCTTTCTCCAACTGACTTATTGCACTTAGCATAACACCTTCTAGCTCCATTTCATTTTTTTAAGTAAGGTTTCATTTTTTTTGATGGCTGAGTAATATTGCATTATATATATATGTGTGTGTGTATATATACACTACCTCTTCTTTATCCAGTCATCTGTCAATGGTCCTCTGGGCACTTTCCATCATTTGGCTATTGTGGACATCGTTCTATAAATATTGGGGTGCAGGTGCCCCTCCGAATCACTATGTTTGTATCCTTTGGAAAAGTACCTAGTAGTGCAATTGCTGGGTCATAGGATAGCTCTATTTTCAACTTTTTGAGGAACCTCCATACTGTTTTCCAGAGTGGCTGCACCAGCTTGCATTCCCACCAACAGTGTAGGAGGGTTCCCCTTTCTCCGCATCCTCACCAACATCTGTTGTTTCAGGACTTGTTAATTTTAGCCATTCTGACTGGTGTGAGGTGGTATGTGAGGCAATTTCTATTCAATCTTCCATGTACTTTGGTTTTGAAGACAAATCATCATGACCAGGCTCACGTCTATCTTAAAGCTGCATTAGGAGTGACTTTCCATATGAAAATTCAGAATTCGAGAATCACATGTTTGCCCTGGGATGATGACAGGTGTGGTTTTAGAAAATCAGTTGATTGAGAAGATTTGGTTGTAGTTGAAATGGGCATATATATATTAAATATTTAGATTATTAAATAACAATTGAGTGCTGAA